ATTTCTTTCTATTTCTTGGTAGAGACGGGGTCTCGCTCTTGCTCAGACTGGTCTCGAACTCCTGACCTCGAGCGATCCACCCGCCTCGGCCTCCCAGAGTGCTAGGATTACAGGCGAGAGCCACCGAGCCCGGCCATAAATATGGAACATTTTACAAATTTGCGTGTTATCCTTGCACAGGCACCATGCTAATCTTTTCTGTATTGTTCCAATTTTAGTATGTGTACTGCCAAAGTGAGCTCTATTTGTTACTTTTTAATCAAACAACTTGCTTACTTATAAATTCGGAGTTGCCCTATTTCTTCTAAAACAGAATGCTATGATGCAAAAGAACTCTAAGAGAGGGGACCAGTAGATTTTTGATTCTACCTTTGGCTCTGTCATTAAGTAGGAAACTAAATTTGGGCAAAACACCTAATGCCTTGGGCCACAGCACTTTTATTGTAAAATAAAAGGGTTAAATCTAAATACCCTAACTCATTAAAATTCTGATATATTCATATATATATGTAACTTAACTTTCTTAACAACCAATTTTTTTCTAAATGTAAACATGTTTCTTTCAGTTAATACAGAAACTCTTAGGTACTCCTACAACAGCAGAAGTTGAAAAGATCTACTAAACATAAAAGCAAAGTATGAAAATATAAAGAGCATATATGCATAGTCAGAATGTTAACACGGATCTTTTCAAAACTTCAATGAATCTTTCTTTCAAAATACATATGAAAGTCACTTTTCATTTATATTTACTTAAAAAATTTAGATGAAAATTTCCATATTCCTTATATCAATATCACTCTGATATTCCAATATGTTCTATTTTTGCTTTTGCAGCATTAAAATTACTTAATAAAAACAGACACACTACAAAATTCAGTCTTTGCTACCTTTCTTTTTTTGTTTGGATGATGACCTGAAGAAGTATGATCCATCTGGTCCTACCAAAATAATGTGATCAAAAAGAAACATCTGGTTTCACCTTAAATTTTCTACTCCAATGTAACAAAGCATAAATCTTCACTTACATGACTATATTCTACATATTTAAAAAAGTGAACAACCATGATTTTTCTGATTAGTTGAATGTTAATAAATGTGAGATATTAAAACATGGATAATTGTTTCTGGGAGAACCATTATGACTCTTGAAATGTAATATGTAATTCAGAGATACACCTGACAAAAGCACGTCTAGAAATAATCACTATTACAGAATCACTGGTTCATCATATTCTAATACAACTCTCAGGGTAGACTGAGAACATGAGGGTAGTTCTGCTTCATTTGATCCAATCTGAGGATAGTAAAAGAAATGGCAATAGTTACCACGATATCCAGTTATAATATGGTAGCTCCAGGATGTTCAAATGCTTGACTGAGTCTTTCAGATAAGTGATTGGCAAACACAGTTGAAGGTCCAAAATACTGTATGTTTATAATTAGATATTCTCATTATGAAGTAGTAAGAATTTATACGCCCAGATTTCCCAACATATAGCTTCTAAGTCCCATAAAAACATAATTTACAGAATCAAAAAAACTATTTCATAGCATTTTAAAACACTATGATGTTAACTGATCACTTTGATTGCCCAGAAGATACGGTGTCATTTATAACATTCCAAATTATGGACCCATTTTAGAAATTCCTAAGCAGCTTTTTCTCCTATATTACATAATAAGATGTATGTTATAAGAAATTACCTTTTAAAATCCTAAAAATGTATAAATGCCATAAAGTGGATTTACAAATAAACTAGTTCCAGTGATTTTTAAGTCAACAAATAAAGGTTAATATTAATGCTTTAATAGGCAATGTTTAAAGAAGCTTACTAAAAGGCAACTACAATACATTTCTTTTTTATGAGAATCGTATGTACTCACAAAAACAAATGTAAATAGTAATTATGCTCCTAAGCTGAAAATTTCACAAAAGCCTTAAAACAGTGCAAAAAGCCTACGTAAAGTCTCTCAACACTACTCAAGATGGAGCCTCTAATGAAGTTCACCACTTTCTCTAACAATGGTTCTCCTCTTTACTGCATATGAGAATAAACTTTATAAAACACTGTGTGGGGCCTCGTTAACAAGAGATTCTAATGTTAACTGGTCCAGGGTGCAGCCTAGGCGCTCCACTTTGCAAAAGCTCCCCAGGCAATTCTAATGGGCAGCTAAAGTACTCCAAAATCTGTGTAAATGTCAACTCATCTACTGTATGCTATCTCTTTAAGCAGAAAATTTTCCTTTCCAAATTAAGAGTGTAAATCATGGTCAAATAATGTATTAAATAATAAATAAATGAATAAATCTAGCAGTAGAGCTTTGGGTTTCTAGTACTGTAAGACGTTTAATATAAGAGTAAGTCAATGTCTCTCCCCATCCCCACGTCTTTCTTTCTCTTAGAATCAGTTAGAGCTGGGAACAAAACTTACTTGCTTAGAGTACCACTGGTTCTGTTTCACTATTTTTCCTATCCCATGGTCCAGAATATACAAATCCAAACAGACAGAATTAGGTGAATTCAGTAACCAATGATGAAAATTCTATATATATCATTTTAGCATTATTGATATCCTGTCACAAAAATCAATATTTGATTTCCAGATCAGAAATAGTAAATTTAGGTTTCATTTAACTCTTTAATTACTACAATTGCAACGACAAGTACGCAGGCCTCAGGATTTACAGTTAGTTCCCTTTCACCTGCATTGCTGTTTATGCATAGTATACTAACATGTGAAACAGCTAATATTCAGAGATAAAGCTAATATTTAGAAAATTTTTATTTTCTCTTTCTCTTAAAATATAATGTTGCTTAGAAAGTAGGAATTTTGCCATTAAAAAGAAAAAAGTAACATAAAAGTAGCTGCTGATATTTCTCTCTAAATAAAACAATGGGCTGCAGCTCATATTACTTTATACTTATAAAACTTCCGACCACAATAAGGGAGAATTCCTCTCCCACTAGTGTACAGTGTATAATTGCCATAGAAGAGAGGTGCTTAATGTGAATTGGTAAGGAGCACTGAGTGATAATTACAAGCTCTCATTATCAGGCAACTATCACAGGTTGACAGATCAGTATCTGAATCAAGATACTGCTTTAAAACACCAACAAGGACATTTTTAAAAACTACATCATTTAAGAATTAACTTTATTGGCCTGTTCAACAAATCACTACAATGGCTTATCCTACGAAGTTAAAAGGAGCTTTAAAATTTTCAGTTAAGTTGGGAAAATTGCCAAACTGTCTTTTGGAGTCACCTGCTCTGGTACATTCTTTCAAGATGAATTTTGACTCTAACGTTTAGCCCAATTTCCTGGGACTCTTTAATTATGGGCCATTTACTTCTTAAGAATTAAAAAAAACTCAAAAAACATAAAACAAAATTTTTTGTTCTTTGAAAAAAAGATTGAAATGTTTCCTCTAAGTAAAATACACACCGAAAATAACGAGAATGGGGAAAAGAGGAATGAATTTAAACTCATAAGTCCCACTTGAATGTGTAAGAGATTGCTTGAGCTTTAATTATGACAATTAAACAGAGAGACTGGCTCCAAACCAAGAGCAGGAGATAGAGAAAGACAGAAAGAGAAAGAAAGCCAGGTACAAAAAGAAAAACATGCATGGAGGATATCTGTTGAGAAAAGCGGTATTTTCAGGAACATTGTTATGAGTAAGTTGAATCAAGCACTGTGTGGAAATATAGAAAAGCTTACAATAAACTCAATTATACAGAAAATCACTGTGCATTTTATAGGTTACTTATACTCAATTCTTACCAGCATCTCTCTGAGAAGAAAAGGAAAAGCAGGAAAACACAAATATATTTTCCTACTTGTTGTTAACATCACAAAATAGTTTAAACTTAAGGTTAAAATGACACTTGAGAGAGTGCCTATCATATTTATCTAATATTAATTGGCCTCCCAGTAATGTTAATCTCAAAGTTACTGTAAGTGTTGGCAATAACAAAAAAGTATTACTAATAGATAATTCTGTGAAATTTGAATTTTTTTGGAGATGAGATGGCTTAAAGTAGCCGATTGTTTATGGTAAATGGCCATATTCCAAATTCAGTGATAGC